GTGGGAATTAGAAAAAATAAATAAATTGCGGCACCCATAACATTCAGGAGCTTATCTTTTTTTATAGTAGTGACATTACGTCATTTTTGGAATGTCAGGCAAAGAAGGCATCCTTCCCGGTCTCGGCATCATCAAAGGTCACACCTCGCTAATTTGATGGCATTTATTGTTAATAAGCTGAGAAGAAGTTTGTGTTGTAAACAAGTGAAGACATCTGTAAATTTCAAACTAGGACATGCCAGAAAACCTGTGAAATGAGTCGGATGAATGTAAATAGGAAATGACGCGGTCTGCTCATGTACACTTTATCAAGCGTGGTTTGGTTGTGTCTGGCACGGTCCAGTTCAGTTGCGTTCCATTTAAACTGAACAGTTTTCTTGGTTACTGTTCTAGGACCGTCCTCGGCACAGTTTCAAAGGGGTAGTGTAAATGGCATACTGGAGTAGTGTCAAGGGTTGAGAGTCATCGATGGAGTTGGGTTTTTTTGGGTTTTATAGTTTGTGATGTGTCAGAACTTCCTCCAGAAAGATGTGGTGTCATTTGCAGAGAGCCATTAACAACTTTTTCAAAGCCTCATTGTGTCGTCCAAATGAAACTATCATTTCTTCACAGTTTTTTCAGAATCGGTTAATAGTGGTGGTATTTAGTCAAATCACAAGTTGTCTCTAAATGTTTACTTTTGTGAACCCTTGGTGGGAGGAGCTGGTGCTCTCCTGTCTGTCTGTGTAGATAAGTTTTCTTGGTGCAAATATTTTTTCAAAAACTACACCACTTTGCCGCACAGACCTCATTGACATGTCTTCACTTTTTTAAGTTTTACTCTGCCACGATGTGGAGTGGGAGCTCAGGTTATCCGCAGCCATAACATTGGGTGTTGCGTTGGTAATTACCAGTTGATTATAAAAAAAAAGACGTTTTGAGATGTGTTTTAGCGAGAAAGTATGCCTAAAACTTTTACCTGTGTAGTCATTTTTCAAAGAAGTACCTTACTTTAAAATTGGTGTCAAAGGGGTTGGAGCCCCCGGTTCAGGCATGAGTGTATGTTGCCTACTGAGCCTTGATACAGGGTTTGATCTCAAACTAACAGCAGTCGTAACGTCAACCAGTCAGTTGGTAATTGCCCGTTAAATAAAAAAGTAATGTAAAGAGGTTTTTTAGCTGGAAGTACACCTCAAAACTTAATCTGGGTAGCCAGTTTTTCAAGATTGAAAGGGAATATACACAATTCATTAGGTATGTGTTAAAACCTGCTAGCACCAAGGTATAAATGTATTGTTTTGCCAGAAAGTTTAGGCATTTTTGTTAATGTAGGTGTTGATTATTAACTGATTGGCCACAGTTTAAAGAAAAATATTTGGTGTAATGGAATAATGATCTGATGGTGCACTTAGTTTTCCCTGTAGAAACAAGACATATACATTCTCCTAAGGCCGGACATACACTGAGCGTTATTTTCAATTGTTGCATGCAGCTACAGCTCAAATTGTACAACAAAACTGAAAACGTAACAGCTCACAATGTATGTTCTAAAATTGGGAGCATCTTATGCGATCTTACGACATCTGATGTGATCTTACGACAGCCGACTGCATTTCAAACAGGTTTGATTTTCTTCAGATTTTCTTGATTTTCTTTCCGATTCCTCATCAGGAGGTGGTCGTGAGAGGCTAATCGCCCCTCGTTACTCCCTGTAAACTACACGATGCATGACATACGATAAAGCTGAAAGTTGGCCCGATTGAAAAATCCTCACACGACTGAAGAATCAGCCCGAAAAGGGCAAAAGATCGTACGGTGTATGCCCGCCTTTAGACTTGCTACTACCATTTCATACTTGGACAAAATTGGGTTTGAAATGATCAAGGTTGAATAGGTAGAAAAGGGCAAAATAGGAAAGGATTTAATAGAAAGGTCTATACATTTATTGAAGTGAAATAGAAGAAGAAACTGCAATATGGAAATACAAGTTTTTCCTTGGAAAAATAATTGGATAAGATGGAGTACAGTGGGAACTTTACTCTAACATATGTCACATAATAGACTTTAATGTCTGTTAAATTATAGTTTTACATAAGTTTTTTTTTTGGTTAACATTTGTGAATTTGTTTTCTATATTTGCCTACTCTATTATACTAATATATGTATATTAATCACACAAATACAAAGGCTAAAAATGTAAACTTTAAGGACATTCAGTTTTTTAGCACTTCTGCTCTTTTAAATGAATAAATGGACTTTTAATAGTAAAGATGCATTTTCCCCAGTAGATGATCTGAATAGAGAGTAATGACCAATTCATAATAACCTGCCATAACCTGCGGGCATACACCAGCAGCTGCATGCTGAGCATGGTTTGCATTTATTTTCTCTTGGCATTATCCTAAACTCAGTTTGTTTAGCTGAAAATGAACGCTAATGGATATATTGGTGAAGCAATGAGCATATTAAGATTGAAAGCATTGCCTTGTCACGATCACAGCTGGCAAAAGGCAGAACTCGTGTAACAGCAACATTCATTCCCCTGCAGCACAGAACCTTTTCTGAAAACACCTCATTTTTTAGAGAAGCCTCCACATGGCATTGGCATGTGCTTTTTTTGACCACATGGTTGCTTTGTTAAAGTATGCTACTGATCAAACGGACTAAATAGTCATTAGATTAGATTTTATTTATATTTTTTTGATTTACCCCTCATTGTTCCTTCTTCCTTTGATCCTTTTTGTTTTTGTAACCTTGAAACTGGTGTTAGGATTCAGCTAAAAGCAGAATTATTGTTTATTTCCTATCAATATTTCTTACAATAGGAACAATTTGAGTTGTCATTCGATCTAATTTGAGATCTGTGACCAAATGGTAAAGCTGATTGTTTATAATATTTGAAAAAAACCTTTTCTGTTATACAACTGTTTAAAATAATAAGAAGCCAATTTATTTACCAATTATTCTTTCATTTGTATTTGCTTTCTTTGCTTTTCATACTAATGATTCACATTATCACCTCAGGGTGTTGAGCAAGCCATGCCAAGTGGGTAATTACGTCTTTGTGACATGAGAGTTATTTTTGGATTGTCTGGACTGTCTTCCTTGACATCAGTTTGCTGCTCGATGTAAATGCTCCCAGGGATAAATGGCACTCTTCTATGCATTTATTCCTCTTATTTCAATATAGTAGAACACCGGTTTTATTTGAGGCTATCCTTTGCTGTAGAACTTCTACTTAGCTACTACAAAAGGCACCTGTGAAATATAAATTTATGCTATATGCATCACCAAATATGCTCCAAAAACAAAAGTAAATCTGCCATCTTTAACCTGTTGCAGCATATTTGGTTACTTTAACACTTATCGTTTTATGTTTTAAAGGAGAACTTGTGTGTTCATACTATGCCTGAAGAACAAAAACTTGCATATGTTGGATCTCTGTCTGCATATTTGTTAATGCTACATATTCTTTATGTTCTTAGATAACTTTGTAATGTGTATTCAATTAATGTGGATGCTATTCATTGTTTTGCACCGTTCATATCAGTTAAAGGCTGCAGTGAGTAGTAATCTGCTTTGACAAATGATCAGTTTGTAATTTTCTATCATCAAGGTTATTTAGTAAGGTTATGCTATTCAGATAAATGTTATCTAAAATATGTGGTTATTTTAAAAGTGCCAGCAATGCACCTTTTTGTAAAGTGATACAGGGGTTTGACCAGTTTTTTTCTCCCCCTTGGGCTCAGTCTCAGATTTTTATGCCTCGGCCTTGGTTTCATTTTATTAGGCATTGACAACTTATATCAAGATCAGTTCAAGGCTTTGTGGGTTTTTTATTTATTTGTTTTTGCTTTATTTTTTATTTATTTATTTATTGACCTTCCCCTGGAGCTAATTTTTTTCATTTAAGAGTATTAATGCTAAAAAACTTAATGTCCTTGAACTTTTATTTTTTTACCCTTTGTGTTTTGCCTTTTTGTGATAAACATATATATTTTTTTCTATGCTGTATTTGTGTTTACTAATGAAAACTATACAAAAACCTCAGTTAAATGATTTCACTGTAGTACGCCAAGGATGCTGCTTGTGTTTTCAAACCTGAATGTGGGGGATGGATTATAAACAAGGAATCATTCATATTTAACGTTAGTAGTTCAACTATCATCTGTTTTAACCTCTGCATTCTGCACTTAGTTGAATCTTTTGCTGCATGCATGCAGTAGATTGTATCTCCTGCAATCCAAACCTGTGAAGTAATTCAGCATTTAAATGTGTTCATTCAGTCCCTGTGTTACAGCATAGGTTTCAGAGGGAGATTCATAGAACCCTACATATCTTATTCTCTTCTAATTCATTTTGATAAGCGTATGTACTTTTCTCAAAATAGACTTTAGTGGTTTTGTTTTTAACCCCTAAACCTAAGATTTTCTCTGCACTCTAAAAGGAAAATGCAGCTCAAACTTAAATGAATTGCTTCTGTTGATAATGATTTAATATTGTCCAACTTAATTTATTTAGGTATTCAACTTATAAACATACATCATTGAGTTGAAGCAATGAAGTTGGAGCATCATTTTCTTTTTAGAGTGTAATTCACATACACAAACACCCATCTATTGACCAATTAGCAGCCCGTACCATAGACTGCTTTGTGTGTTATTTACAAACTTTATTTAAATACTCCACCATTTGCATGTACATATTTTTCATCAAGGACACTCATATCTTCTACAGGTGTGGTTGTTACTTCGACGAGTTTAAATTGTGTTAAATATTCATTACTTTGTAATTTTCTGCTAAAGTATAGCAATGCAATTTATATATTCTTCTAAAGGGGAAATCTAAATAGAGGAATATTAACATTATCTGATAACTTTATAGTTCAACAAATACATTTCTATGAATCTAATCACTGCACTAATATGCGTTACTTTTAAAAATCTTAATGCTATATGCTCTGATGGAAAAAAGTAATTTATTATACAATTAATGTTTGTATTTTCTTTGTCTTCCCGTAGCTCTCTACTCCATCATACTGTTCTTTGTCTTCCTTTGTATCCCGTTTGTCTACTTCTACTATGAAGAAAAGGATGACAGCAATGTAAACAAATGTTCAGTAAGTTTATAACCTTTTTCTATTTGATGTTATCCAGTTTATCCCCGACAATATCAATTTTGAGTGAATCCTGCTTTTATTAAGATTTAAAGTTTATATTCAAAGTTCTTTCTTACATCATGATATTTTATAAGTTAGCTAATTAATTAGAAAAGAAACATCATAAAGATCTGAAAGATATCCCTACTTGGCACCCAAGTTTTATTTATTTTTTTTAGACCAGTTCTCAATCGACTGCTTGAAACCAAATGTCAGGGAGTGAAACCTGCCATGTAGATTGTTTTAGTACTTGCTTTGCAAACTATGTCCTTAGAAGATATCCATTTGCAGCATGGTTTAAAAAAAAAAAAAAAAAAAAAACTTTAGAAAAATCTGTCTTGATAAGGACAGAGAAGAGAGACTGTAAATAAAAGACAGAAATATTATCAGTTGTAAATGTTTATCTACATTTCTGTTTCAATACTTCAGTTACAGACAATTCATCAAAATGTGGAGTCAAATGAAGGGCAGATGGATCAAAACTAATCGATCAAGTTAAATGTAGGCGGATGAAAACGCATTATCCAACCTTTGTGTCACTTCTTTCTTTCTATTTTAAAAAAACTTACCGGTATTTGGTTTTAAATTTCCCCTGGAGTTCTTTTAGGTGAATGATGGTCCTAATCAGTCGCTATGATCCATCAACCACAGCAATGCACTGCTTTCCTTGTCACGTGTCAGTTTTGAGCTGAGAGAGGCGCTTTTCTAAGCAAAGATAAGATGGTCTTTTCTATAGGAACTTTAAAAGACACCTTGAATGGCGCAGGATATGAATTGCTATCTCTGCAAAGGCAAACTGGATCTACATCCACTTTGTCTTGCTCTCACTTGCTGCTTATCTGAAGGATATGAGTCCCTTATCCTACTTAAAATGAATAATAACATTTCACTTAATAACCATGAATGACCAATTATTTTTTTTTCTTGTATTACAGCAAGTGAAAAATGCTCTGAAGTACACAGTTGGATTTGTCATTGTCTGCGTGGTGCTCCTGTTAATTGGGTGAGTTCTAGACATGGATTGCTTCTTCTGCTTCAGTAAACAACAGGTAAAAGATGTATAAAAACCTTCATGATTAAAAGAAATGTTTTCGAAAGACTACACAGTGTTTATCAGCCAAATGTGTGGTGGTTACTTTAAAGAAACAAAAAAACATGTCTGTTAAAGAAAAGAATTTTGTTAAGTATAGGAGTCAAACTCAGGATGTGAATTGTCGCACTCAAAGCTCCCTCGGCATAAACAACCTTCACTGGTCTATATAGAACCAAGAAATGCACTGTTCTGATGCACATATTCAGTCATGTTCTATTTATCGTTTTTTACATTGGTTGCGTTCTGTAGCATCAATGAAACTTGATGGATTTTTTTGCAAGCAGCTACAATAACATAACTAGAGCTCAACATGTTTGATTGAATGTGCTCCCTGAACCATAAAATGAGACTTTGAAAGAAAACTTGGATTGCTTTGAAAAATAGAAAATAAGGAGCATATTACTGTATTGTCTCCCACATTAAAAATTAGAAGATGCAGTGTACACACATATAGTATAAGTGGGCTATTGCAAAATGAACATTTTCTGTCTCTGGTTTCTACTGTCTTTTGATTCTTGACAGTGATGCTCTGCTACCATGAGGCTCTTATGTCAGCAAGTATTTGATACAAGTTGAAAGACAGGACATCTACCAAGCAACAAATTAATGAGTTATCTGTTTGTAATTTTGTTAAAACACTAGTTTTACTGCGTTTGTAGACAGCAGTATTTTATAATGTGTTAATCCACTATTTAGGAGTTTGAAAAAATGTGAACAGGGATAATCAGAGGTCCGGCTTCTCAAAAATTTCAAGGTAGACCTTTGCAGCCTAATTGGTTTACCATAAAGTGCCTGTAACCAGGTGCTTCTCAAAATATTACTATCAGGCTTCAAAGCAATATTTAGAGAGGTTGTCCAAAATCAAAGGGCCACTTGCAGAGTGCTTTAGAAAGACTTGTAATTTGTGGAAACAGTTTTCGATGAAAACATGAAATTATTTACCAAACTGCGCACTTGTTGCACGACTCCACCACAACTCCAATGCTGAAGAAACAGCATTTGGAAGCTCATTTAAAATTACCTGCAGAACATTTAGACAAGACAGTGACAATGCTGTAAACATAGCTTGTTCTGACAAGACCCCAATTGGACTCTTTAAATGTCACTGCACACATCATGTTTGTAAGAGAAATGTCACTGCACATGACCCCTAAACACAATGTACCAACACTGAATTTTGGGACCAGAAACATCATGGGGCTATATTTCTCGCTGTAGCACCAGCAAACTTTTTTTATTATTATTATTGTTTTGAATGTAAAAAGGATAAATGACGAAATTATAGAAATATTTAGATTGAGAAGTAAAACATGAAACGGCAGTGTTTTTTGCAGTACTTTCCAAACACACAAGGACTATTTTGTTAAATAAAAAGAACAAAACTTCTAAAATAAGCCAAGCACCCCCTTTGCTTTAAAAGTATTATTGTTATCATTATTATTTTGGATGGAAAAAGGATAAATGGAGAAATTCTGGAGAGATTCTGTTTGAGAAGTAAAATATGAAACTGCAGTGGTTTTTGCAGATCTTTCCAAACACACAAGGACTATTTTGTTAAATAAAAAGAACAAAGCTAAAATAACCCAAGCACTCCCTTTGCTTTAAATGTAATGCCCTTGGAAAGAACTAAGCATTTTAGAAGCTCAGACCCAAAACCTTCATGATTTGAAGAGATGTTTAAGTGGAAGAATGGATCATAATTAGAGACCCAATTCTGAGATGGCCTTGAGACGATGATGATACACATGTTGGCTGGTCCTGCAGCTAACTTGATGAAATCACGTTAATCATCATAGTTAGACACTGTATGCCGGATTTCTTAGCTGTGAAAATTGAGATAGAAAAGCACAATAAATATCTTACAAATAAGTCCAATGACATGGTTTGTTTTGAGAAAATACTTTAGGGCCAACTAAAACAACTAAATGAAAGTAAACAGACTTGAAATGGTGTTAATAGAGGCAGGATCTAAAGAAAATGGACAGGAAGTGTGTGATATTGTGGCTCAACTGTCAGAAGACCCTGGATGTTTGATCAGGAAATGGATCCATCTGTGACAGTTAATCAAAAGGATTCCCCATCGTCGCTACTGTTTGATCACTGAGAGAATACAATGGAAAAAAAAAAATTTTGGGGGGGATTCTCTACTGTCTCTAGTGAATTCCCACATTTACACTATGTAGGAACCTGTTGATAAACCTGAAATTTTATACCCTTTCCTTTCAACTCCAAATGACACAGAACAAGACTGAGAGATTGTTTACAGATCTCACTGAAGCCTGCTATTACATACAATGGCAGTTTAGTCATAAACAGGGTTTGATCCAAGGCAGATAATTGTGACTTGACAACTAGACCCATCGGACGGACACTTTTGTTTATAGAAATTGCTTAAGCCAAGTTTAATATTGTAAACATGAACATTCTGTGCAGAATTGCCTTTTTGTATGTGCTTCATTTGGGCTCACATTTGTCTATTGCTTTTGCTTTGGAAGTTACCTCGATGCAAATGCATGACAGTCGATTAAAAAGCCTGGTTTATAAAAAGAAAGTTGAGAGAAAAAAAAATGTCCTTAACTTTTATACTTTTATACTTCCATTTTTGTCTGATGGTTCCTGATGTTAAATTTGTTTTTTTTGTTTGTTTGTTTTTTTAGATGATTTTATGTGGGGAGGGGATCAGCTCTAATCCCTGATTGCACAGATAAAGAGAGTATCAAAGTAACACTTCCCAAAAGATGCATTTGGAAAATAATGTTCACAATAAAGATAATGTAGACCAGTGGCTTCAACCTTTTTTGGGTTAGTGCTTCGCTTCTATTAGAATATTTGCTGGGAATAATATTTGTATTTTATAATTCCATTATTAATAGTAAAATACATACAAACAAAGAAGATGGAGAATGATAACGCAATAATAATAGAATAAGTTCTCCAAATAGGAACCATTTTAAGTCATCTAAACACATTACCATCAGTTTCAGGCAGTTTTAGGAATTTCTTTATCATCTCAGCTGGAACCAATGGTATGCTGGATTTTCTAGACAAATATGAAGTGCCTGTGCCTGACCAGGTAGATAGTAAGACCCTTTATACCTAGATTCAGTAAAGAGAATAATTAATCTATTGGTCTATTAAAAATGTTAAAGTCGGGACCCAAATGGTACAGAGAAGGAGTTTTATAAACAACACAAGGTCAAACTTGTTCTAAGCCTCGTTTACTTTGTCAGAAACCTCACAAAAGGTATGTTGAGGCATCAACAGCCTCTACAGAGATTAGTTCTGTTTGCATTTCCAGCTCTACAAACAGACTGGGGGCTAAACACCTGGATAAGTGAGCAGGATGAAGCAAAACTAGACAATGTTGATCTATCCAGACCTAGAGTATCCACCTGTGCTGAACAGTCATTGTTTTAGATACCCAAAGCTACTAATCTGGGTTGCTCACTTATATTCCAGTTTGAAGGGGCTAAGGCTTGTATTTTGGACGAATGCCTTAGTAAATGTCCAGGGTCCGATAAAGTATTTCACCCTCTCATGGTTTACAGCAGGAGATTACTACCCTCTTATCCTAATTTAATTGAAGAGGAGTGGGAGAGAAAAACTTTGGACCCCTTTGCCTGATGGAATTTGACAGGAGGCTTTGTACAATATCAGCACAATTTCTATAAATGCCTGTCACTACATGATTCAATATAAAAACATGCAAAGGCTACATTACTCAGATGATCAAATTTATCCTGAATAATCTCTACATTGTGGAAAACACAATGGGACCGGTTTAAGCATAGTTTTGTATAAGATTCAGTATGTTTGGTATGATTTTTATAATTTTTTTTATATTTGTCTTTCATAAAAGTCAAGATTGACCCAAGTTCCACAGTAACCTTCTTAGATACGCCATGATCATTGTAAAGAAAGTTTTAACTTTGGAACGGCAAGGACCTTGCAGTTATTAAAGATGTGGCTCACATAGCTTACAAACTCGCATCGCCTTGAGAAAATGAGATATGCCATTAATGGAGAGCTGAATAAATCATCAACTATTACCCCCCATCATAGTGATGTTTAATTTAGTGGTCAGGGAAGGAAGGTCTTCTCGGTTTCTGGCTTTTATTTATTTTCTATAGCATCAGAATGTCGTAGAACTACAACCGGTTGTTCTTTTTGTTTTTAAACTGTTTTCTGTAGTTTTATATCATTGCTCCTAGTTGTTTGGTTTATTTTCTGTTTTCCCCATCGTACCTATCCAAGTTTGCCTTTTTAGCTTTTACTGTTGTTGACTCCTACAAATGCCTGTAAAATATAAATTGGCATTTTGCTTGTCTTTACTCTAATCTGTTATTTGCTTTTGTAAAGTATTTAAAGCAAAATGATATCTGAGCAATATTTGTGAGTAGTTTCTCCGTACAGGACTCATCTTGAAGCTGTCATTAATAAAGCTTTCTCTGCAAATTTACTGAGGAAGGTCAATACATATTCTTGTGCATAACTTAATTTATGCATGTACAAGGAAAATGGAGTTAAAAATGAAGACAAAATATGCTATTGGCTATCTTATGAAATTAACATCTTTAAAAGTGCACAGCCCGGACTGATAAGTAATGAGCTAATATTATATTAGTTTTGACATTTTCACATTTTACCTGCAAGTATCAAAAAATTGTTGCAAAAAACCTAAAAAAAAGAAAGTTCTTTACAATACATGCTTCTTATATGACTACTTGATAAAATGTCTGTGTTGAAGCAGTTTTATATTTTTTTCCGATGCTGCCCTAAAAGGTTTCAAATGTAAATGGGTTGGATGGCCTGGAATATTTTAGATTATGAAACGCTTGATGAAATTTAAAAATGAACCTTCTTTTTTTTAACTCTTTCAGAGCATTTGTTCCACTTGAAGCTGCACCTGGACAAAATTCCACTCAGTGGGAGAAGGTTCAGTACCTTTTTGATGAGCTCGGCAGTAGCCGTAAGTACAGCCGCCACACAACACCTTCTGAAGAGGAAATGAAACGGTTAACCGAACTAAATGAATTCACAAGATTGTGTCTTACTATTATCGATAATTGTATTACAAAAGTGAAAAATATAAACATGAATGAAAAAGCAAAGCATTTTTTTTAAATATTTTTTTTCGCCAGGGCTGTCATTTTGCAAACACAAGTGGTGTGTACTGTTAGCTCCTCTTTTTATTCTATATACAAACAGTTGCAGAAGTCCCAGTGATCAAACACGTTTAGTTCAATTCTCAGGTGACACTGTTGTCCTTACCCTTCTATAGGGAGATGATCAATGGCATGGTCAAGCCCTTTCCGCTTTGGAGCAGTTCTTTTGTGAGCTGGTGCAGCGACTTCTTAGACCGCGTCTCAAAAGCAAAAGAGATTATTGTAGACTACTGGTAAAGTTGAAATGATCATAAATCCTGGATCATATGGTGAAGAAGTGCAAATTGTTGATATTTACAAGCACTTAGGAGCTGTTTTTGATCACATACAGAAATTTAACACGAACACAGATATCAACACTGAAAAAGGGGCAGCAGAGAATTTGTCTGTTGCTCAAACTCCTTTTATTTGGTGTCAGTGGGGATTCGAAGAGGTTGCTCATTTACTGAAGGTCTTTTCATCTGGTCTTTCATCTGCTGGTTTGGTTGTCTGTCTGAGTGTTTAAAAATCCTCGGTGTTAAACAAAGAGACCTGGTCTCACTTTGGTGGAGCTGAGTCACAAAGAAAGCTGGTCAGATCATAGACTTAGATCACAAGCACATTTTATCTTCGTGTTTTAGTTTGATGCCTTCTGGTCGGCGTTATCATTTGCCTATGATCACAACTACTCATCACTACTCAAACTCTTTCATCTTGTCTCCAATAAGACTTTTAAATTTAATTTAACTTAGTGGTTTCTGTTCGCTTGTTTTGTTTAATTTTCTTTTAATTGTCCAGGCTGATTCTTAGCATATATCTCTAGACTGTTTTAACACATAATTGTCTGTCTGTTTGCTGTCTATGTTTGGCCAGGTTTCTGCTGAAATAAATAGTGTTAAAGTGAAACAAATTTTCTTTTTCTAATATTTAATCTTAAAAAAAAAAAAAAATCATCAGGTATACTCCTTATCTCTGGTGGATCTCTGCTATCAAATGCTGCGTAAGCATTGTTACAACAATACATAATATTTCCTTTAAATTGATTAGACTAATATATCTAATAGAAAGGATAGAAACTGTAAATATTAAAGTACTTTATTAACATGCATTTGCAAAAATCCTTAAGTATTTTTCTGCCTCTTTAATAGAGAATAGGTAGGTGCGGTTTACATATTTCTATGCATCTTCACCTTTTTAATCAAACACTGCTTTTGAATATTTTCACAGTAGTGCAGGGATCTTACCCAGTATTAAAATCTAATAGTAGTTTGGCATGTTGCCATCTTGAGACCATGGAGAAGTTGAGCCATCTGTCTCTCTGCTTAATTCTGATCCCCTAAACGCTGTCCCTAACCTTTCTCCATTGGTGCAGTGGGGGAAATTGTTTGGCTGCATAGGAAATTTGAGGAATAATCCCTTTTCCTAATTTCCAGATTCTTTTTTTTTTTTTCCTGATGGGAAGTTAATTGTGTGAAAAAAAGGCACTTTGGCCACATAACTCTCCTGACTTTCTGCAACAACTGTTCATTAAAGCCGCTGCATCTTTTAGTAGTTTGAAGATTACACTTGTTAAACCAGTGTTGCTTGAATTTCTTTTCAGATCAGCGGTGCAGCTTTTGATTTTCCTAGTTTTGTCATTTTGGGCTTTGTCATGGAGTAAGTACCTGGAGGTACTGTTTTTTTTTTTTTTTTTTTACTAGCATGGAGATTAATTGTTCCTTTTCACTACACATTAAATAAACAATGTCTTACCATATTACAATGCCCTGTATAGATGTTTTGTTTAAGACATTATAGATTAAACATTAAAAAAACACTTTTTAGTGTTCTGCTGGGAAAACCTGAGCTGATCAGACAACAGATTAAATCAGGCATCTGTTGGAGGTAATCCCAGTTCATAGACCCCATCCCAGAATCCTCAGAGTACATAGAACATATTGCTAATGTCCCAGTACCAGAAGCCCTCTCCTAGAAAGCTCAACTGGCTTCATTTTCTCACCGTATGTGGCCCGTTCAGATAACACCAATTATTATGTAGCCTTGGAACAGGTGTTTAAAAACACAATATGATTTGCATTTTCAGAAGCAGAACAGCAGTTGGCCACTTTTAACTAGGCTGTTGTTATGCTTTAAGCAACAATTTAGGTTATTTTATACAGCTCCTATTATTTTTAATACATATAATAACTTTAGGATATTTACCACTGGCGAACCTGGTGCAACCTATGATCAAATGAGGCTCTCATCGTTTACTTCAATACTGTTCATGAGTTTGGGTTATGATCTTTTTTTTTTTAAATCTAAAAATTATAGTTTGTCCATGGAAGCTTTCTTAGTTTACCTCCTGTCTGGAATAGTCATTAAAATCCTTATCAGTGGTGTTCTGTAGGTTTTCACCTAACTTTCTTTCTAAGTTATGCACCTTTATGTATAAAGGTGCATATATACTTTTATATATATAGCACTTTAAAACATCCAGCATCCACCAATGAGGTTTGCTGGTGGAATGCCACAAGACTTGTTAACAGAGAATTGCCTTTATGTGTCATTATCATAAAACAGGCATTATCAAAGCAGAGACAGTATTATCGTTTTCAAAAGAAGCACATGAGGATTTAAAGGATGCAGCACTACACCATACCTGCATCTGCTTATATCCCTTGTCATTAGCTCATATCACTTCTTAGATGAAATGTTGTTTTTTTTCTGCAGAACAGGGTTTGTGCCCAGACGAAACAAATGTGAAGTAAAATCAGTGAAATGATGTCCAAGGCCATGGGCTTACATTTGCAAAAATAAATCTTAACTGGTAAGGAAACTGGGAATTCATCATTCATAATTTAGGCTACATCTGCTCTTTGGCATTTGTTAAGTGTGTAGCTTGTCCATACATTTCCACGATGAAATAAATTTTCATTATAAACTTCCAGTTTTTGCAGATGTCATTAATGATCTTGACCTGTTTTCTCACATTTTTAAAATAGTCACCATTGCTGCACCATTTAGAACTGAGAAAGTTCCTCAGCTCTTCCAACCTTTTATGATTTTATACAATAGTTTATTGTGTTCTCTGTTTCAATATATGGCTGCCCTTGTAGCTGCTTCTGTTTATATAATTCCACTGAAATTCCACTGAAGTAGAGCACCAGAGCTTCTGAAAGAACACCTCAATGCATGAGGTTCGTGCATCAGCACAAGCCTAAAGGGTTATATGTAGAGAGAGAGAGATAAAGAGCGTCCTCATTCCATCGGCTTTGAATTGACACTGTACAGATGTGGAAGAACCACAGACGACAGACAGTATTCTCTATGTATAATCCCTGGAAAATCTGCTTGAGAAATAAAGAAGACTTGCAGCAAACATCCATTCTTTGCTTTGTGTAGAGCCCATGAGCCAAATATTCTCTATACAGAACAAAAAGCTATTGTTTATTTCGCTAAGCACACCACCAAAAGACGCTAGAAAAATTGCAAAGAAACACTCAGGATTCAGAAACAGGTATTGAAATTTTAATTCCATTCAGAGTTATTGAAAATGTTTAGTTCTTTTTGCATTATATCAAAATAATGTATATATATTTATCCCTGTTTTTCTACCTATGTCCTACCACATGTGGACAGTCTCTTGTTGAACAGAATTAATGACACAAACAGCCCAAATTATACATGCTCTGAATACTGACTTAATATTTCAATTGAAATGCCTGTGTCAAGGAGACAGACAAGGAGAGACCCACCTCTGACCACCATGACAGGTGGTCTGGGCTTCATGAAGTTGCCGTTGAGTGGATGTGGGATATTTATAAAAGGACAAATGTGAGGCTTTTTAATTAGAATGCCATGACAGGTGGGATCTTGACAGGGGAGTGAAACAATCACTCTCCTCATCAATCCTTCTCTTCTAACTTTATCTCTGGCAGCTGGCGTCACACCTACTGTGGTGCTTTTCCTGATAGGTGGTCCTTTTTGCCTCTTGAGAGAGTTACACGCATCAACTCTACCTTCACATGCCCCAATACCAAGCTGTTCAAACATCTATTGTGTAAAATATATAATCCAAGGTCAATGTAATTAGAAGATCATATCCTTTTTAAAATAATTATATAGAAACATAAATATATTTTATATATAGTTCAATCATTTCATTTAACTTCATGCTTTTAGATCAAATGCAACTGCACAGCAGCTGTTCTAAAACTGTTTCACATCCAGTGGTACCACCTAGAAATTCACCCCAAAATTTTTTGTTTTTGTAAATAAAAAATAAAAAACCCTTCACGTCTCTGAATGTAAATTGTAAGCATACAAGTTTTTAGCCAACTTATCTACTGTGCTGCACTACAGCAATTCAGAAAGCCAATCTATAAATTTCAAACAAACATTTAAGGCATTTTGAATTGAGAAAGCTTCCTGGAGGGGAAGAGAATCCTCTTCAAACCTTGGAGACAAAGTCCAGTGGATTGTTTTTTTAAAACTTTTACGGAATGACTATGACCTGGATGACTGAGAATCTTCACCAGCATATTTAAGGCAACATTCAATAGAAATAAGTTTGATCTTAGACAAAAGAGGATGAAACGATACCTTAAAGCTCCAAGTCTCGCTTAACTTAATATTAACCATATGCCTAATGTGGCTCTGGACCCCCAAATGATTCTATTTTCCCTCTTACTTAAGTTCAATTCAGTTTACATCAGTTGTATTCAATTCAATTCAAATGTATTCTCATACACATTACAGACCTCTAATCAATCAACATTCTGATATGACTGAGTGCTGGTAAAATAAAACAGTTGGATAATATTTTAGAAGAAGTAGACCTCCATGTTTTTTTTTACATTTATATGTAACTGGATAGAAAGTGTTCTTGAATTTGCTGGAGCATGACTATATGCTTCTGTACCTACTGCCTGATGGTAGAAGCGTGTAGTTAGGATAGCAGAGGTCAGAGATGATCTTGTCTGCCTTTCTTCAACAGTGCAGTCTGTGAAGCTGCTGGGAGGCTGGCAGTTCATTTTGGGTAATGCGTTGTGCCAATGGAATGACATTTTGTAAAGCTTTTGCTGTCTGAAGCATTACAACTGCCATAACTGGCTGTGATATGGCCAGCCTGAAAACTTCCACCTGGCAAACCACTTCTGATCTTCCTGTCAAACCAATGAACCTGCGAATTTCGTTTTACTTCTTTTAGAAAAGACTGTAAAAACAAAGGGAAATAAAAAAAAATATATCTATTTTTGGAACATTGATAATATACAGAGTTTAAATGTCTCATAAATCCCAACTTATGTTATTAAGAATCTTTTTATAAGTGCTAAATAAATCAGGCCAGATTTACTTTGACAAGATATTCAGCTAAAAAGAGCTAAAAATGTGTTTCAGTAAAAGATGAGTCTTTTTTTATCTTCTAATGGGATTTAAAGAATCTTGTGTTATTATAGGACTCTTTGGCAACTTCTTTTGTTTTCAATACTACAGTAAAATATAATGATGTCTTTAAAATAATTGCAAAGTCATCACAGGCCAGCACTCACTCAGATGTAGATTCTAAAATCAGCATTTTTAGCTGTTAGTGGTTATCCAGTAAAGGTATTCCAATAGGGTTTTGCTAATGATTTGAAATATGTCTGCAGCTGTTTCTTTTTTCTACCATGAAGCCTTAAAGACTCCCATGTAAGTTAAGAGGTTTATTATTCCTCAATAAATGTTGAACTCCAGCCCAATATGAAGTTCTTATTAGTTTACTTTATCAACCACCAGGATCAACTCAGAATATTTTTCCTTTTTACTTCTCAATAAGAGAGAGAAACAGAGAAAAGCTTTCAAGTGTAACATTTGCTTGATATTTAGACAGGTCTTTTTTTCACCAGATGACAGTGGAAGCTTACGGAACCACAAAAAATATAGCAGTTTTTAATGTTGTTATCTTGTACCATAGTATTTTGTTTGACCCCAATGCCAAAATTTGGAACCTTGGGAAAATTTAAGCATTAAAAGCAGAGCAGATGACTATTACATCATCCAAGGATCAGTTTGGGCATTTAGAAACATTTGATGATCTTTTCAATGATTAGACTAGCTTATTTTTTTATAATCTGTAAAACCCAATGAAGGGCACATAAAATAATTAAGGGTGTCCCGATCCAATATGAATATGGGATATTAGCCAAAACACTAATATCATATTATATCAGCTGACATCTAAGATCTCCTATACTGGCATGCTGATAGAAAATCTCTGCTTCTGTAACACGTTGTTTAATATTACACGGGTCAGTTGTTCTCATACCTATTGTGTTGACTGTTGTTCTTTTATAGTAATATCACTTGATCAAGTCTTTTGTAAGTCATTCTGCATTACAAAAAATAAAATAAAATAAATGATGTATAATTTATTCTTATATTGTATCGGATCAACATTAGTATCACTTTATTCTCAAAGCTGTAATATTGATATTATATCAGAAATGAAACAATAAAAGGATCCTATGGGTAGTTATAGCAGCATCTTAATAACCTACACTTATGCAGCACATTTCTAGTCTTGCTGTCACACTCTTCAAGAATACTTCAGCACATGATGTGACTCAGTGGTTTTGTTTAATAACTAACTATATACTCAATTTGAAATTTTATAGAGAAATTATAAAATTAGTCAGTTTATACTCAAATCTTGCTTGTTAATTCTGTTTTCTTCTTGCTTTTTTTTTTTCTTTTCTCGCATTGTTATTCAAACCACTAACTAAATGCGACGGCCATCATGGACAGAAGTAGAATCTTGGCATCACAAGCAGCCCACTGTTTACAGAAGTAAAACTAATAGAAATGTTCGATGATGCTTCATTGGGTAAAACATAACAGAGGATGTTGTTGTCTCTGTGTAATTATTAAACTGTTGACCAATTGTGGACCAAAAATATCATGACTACTTTATAAGAAGACAAAGGAAGTAAGCTCAAAAGATAATGCATATTAAAAATGACATTTAATAGAGCGTTGACTTCTAAAACTCTAGAAATCCCTTTGTGTTAAGTGGGAGCTATGAAAATATGTAAAATTGATAAAATGCAACAGGATTGTTCAGACCGCTGACGCTTTTAAAACTATTGAACATCCAATTTAGCACCAGAAATCAAAGTAGCTAAAATCAGACTTTATTTAGGTGAGAAGATTAAAGTTGGGCTATTCAGACAAAAAAAAATCAAACAATGGATATGAGCCGCATTAGCCTGCTGGGGAAAGTAGCCTTTGACAGAACTTTTTTTGTGTGGTCATGGGAAACCATTAATAAGTCAGCTGAAGAATCGTATTAGACTTGAACATGATACTCACTTTAAACGTTATTCTTTTCTAAAATTAACAATGTGGTATTCTAGATCATTAAATCAAACCTCTTTACTTTTAATACAAAAACTCATAAACAGACATGGCAGAGAAAACGTTGCATAAAATATGGAAATGTAAAACAGAAAATAGCCTCATATAATGTTTCAGTGCCTAACTAATGGTTTCTTTTTTTTTCACAGATGGTCTTCCAGCTCTATCTTTCTCCATCAGCTCTTTGACCTTGATTGGCATGTTGGCAGTGATCACATACACTGTAAGTTGATTGTGTCCAGGTTTTCTTTTGACGTACTCAGTGAAAATTCATATGTTGGAAGACTTAAAAATTCCTACATTTTTATATTCTTGGTAAGAATTATACCCAACTATATAGTTTAGATGATGTCTCCAGAGCTTAAAGTGAAATGAAAACTTTTTCCCTTGTGAGACATTATTTCATTGTTTTACATGGTTATTTGTATTTGCGGTATACTAGTGATTGAGTGGCTGTTAATAGTAATGCTTTGTGATTTTAAAGCTCTGACATACAATCAATCAAATTGCTCAGGCTATTGCCATTTCACCTGAACACCTGGGACTCTTCATGATGTATTGGTGCTCCACACAGGCTTATCAACCACTTATCCGCTGTCTGTTTATATTCATAGATATTCCTCAGTGCCCATTAATGTATGCCTTTATTTCTATTCCAATGGTATTTTGCATTTTTTTTTACTTTTATCAGAAAGGGAGGGTGTAATTGTTGTTGTCCTCTTTTCATAGCATTATCTCCATATTGAGACTGTTAATAATTCCCCAAGCTGATGTTACTGGTGTCAAAATCCTATAATGCATAATGGTTACTGCTGCAGAAAGAAAAAAACGGGAAGAAAAAAAAAAACTCAGCTATTGGATCTGAGACTTAGAGTACAAGTGACAGCCAACCCCAATCTATCCAGTCTCTGTTGAGCTCAGAAAGCTCTGACAAATTATATAACAACTGAATGTGGAACTCCTAATGAATAAAACACCAACTAACCAAGTAAATTGTAAAACCAATCTCTCTTTAGGATTTAAAATTAGTCTCCGTTGGGATTTTCTCCACTGTTTTTAGAAGCTTTTCACAGTTCTCTGTAGTGGATAATTACCAAGTTCATCTGGACAGTGGTACTGTGCTCCGATTTGCTCTGACCAGTGTTGCTATGGACCCGGTGAATGCTCTGTGGAAATCAGAACTCCCACTGTGTCTTAGTTTTTGATCATCTTGTTTTTTTTGAAGTCGGTCAGAAAAAATAAGCCCTTCAGGCTACAACACTAAGTAGTTTCTATTTTTTGAAGTCACTGGCTGCAGAGACTCCTGTGTCCTCTATTCTTAAAAAAATAAAAATACAAATTGTGACCTTCAAATGTAAAGCAATATTAATACAATTTCATACAGTTAAAGTAATTTTTCCAAAATCGTAAGTGGAACAAAACTGTTTTGTGTTTACTTTTTAGAAAATCTAGGGCGAAATGACTGCAATTACTGGCCTAATTAGGCTTATTACATTACCACCAAAGCAAAGCAAAGATGTGAATCTCCAAATGCATATCATAGATCTTAAATGTGTTGTTACCTTCCAGCTGTGATCCATCATGATCATATGTTGTAGCAGAGCAGATCATTTAATTCTAGATGTCCCACGAAAAACGTTAAATTAGACAAAGTTAGCGGTTGAAAAATGAGGTACATGATGTTAATTATCTTTCAGTCCCATTCACTGTGCCTGATCTATCGTTCTCTGTCCTTTCTCGCTAAACCAGCAGTTATATCCTTCGATTTCTACAACTGATTGCAAGTTTATTTATTGTCAAAATGGGTGTGAAACATTATTTTTTGCAGTATTAAAATAATGCTGGTAGAATTAATAGCAAGTCATAATAATAATAATAATGATAATTTAGTTTTGTAACTTATTTCAAAACTCTGCAGTTGCTCTATGCTTGGACATTGGCTAAGAATCTGGTAAGAAAACTAAATACTCTAACATAAAATTGTAAAGGTATTCAATATTATAATTAACTTACTAGAAATAATATACAACTATTCAATTACAAAATACTTTAAAATTCCAAAGGGAAATTAAATTAAATTAAAACTAAGTCATAGTTAACTTCATAAATTGTCTAACTAGCCCTTTAGGTAGAATTATAGATTCATTCTAATTTTAATATTTTACTATTTAAAATGAACTCATGCTATGTAGATCATTTAATTACCTCCTGTTTCAAAAAGCCTCGCTTTATAAGAGCAATAAAAAAAATTAGACAAGCATAAATTCACATTTTTAATTTGTTTAAAAATAAATGTCATGTCAAAAATAATCAAGTAGCATTTTTATTCCCATGATTTCAATATTGAAATCATTGACTTAAACCAATGTCTTGAGTTTTTTCTCCCCAAAGAAGCATTCCTTTTGGAATACATTTAAGAAGCCTTTTTTGGAGAAAGCTGTCAGTGAGCAGCTTTGGCTACAGTGTAGCTTATCACCATCAGTTTGTGAATATGTTTGTGAAAGAGTGAATGACTGAATGTACTGCAAAGTGCTTTGGAGTGCTTGGACTTGATAAAACACTTTACAAGTCCAGACCATTTACCATTTTGAATACACTCCTGCTGTCTTTAGTCAGAATTTCCTTTAGTGAAGAATCCTTATACTTCTGTTGAATGAAAACATTTAAAAAACTAAAATAATCTCTTACTGTAATCTACTTTCCATTGAACAGGGCTTCCAGTCCTAGATAAGATATAAGCTGTCAGGTTAACACTGATTATCAGACTATATCCACAACGTCTTTTTGCTTAAATTAGCCAGACGAACATTTGGTGTTAGTTTGATTTGTTGCTTTGTAGACTTTCAATATAAAAGGCCTATGAACATGTTATTTACTGCTTTCTTGACCAAATGCGACCCACACTGAACATGTAGTGATATCACAATATTTTGCTTAACTGCTTATGAAACCAACATCCATATACAGTGACTTTCTTTTTCAGTAAGTTGAGCTTCTACACCTTTGTTTTCTTTTTCTGTAACTCCATCTCCATCTTGTTATCATCCAAATATGATATTAAAAGCATTAAGACTGACCGTTTTTCTTTCTTCCTTGAAAACTGGTTCCTCGGATTATTTTCTATTAATCGACTGGATCAACGTTCCAGTCGAGCCAGAAAGCCTGGCATCTTCCATGTTTTATTTTAACAAACAAGGTTTTATATCCACTTAACACAACGTGACACATATCAAGTCCTGTTAGATTTTTATTTTTTTAATTATTTAGTGTATGCCATGTCTTAAGTTTTAATTAATTTGTGTAGTAAGACATGGAAAAGACTGGTTTAAATGTTGCAAAGGGAGGCTAGGGCATGGTTTTTATGTTTAGCTCTAATTAATAAATTTAATATCTTTGGTCATACAGGTATTAACCTTTCAAAATGAGTTCATCCAGATTTTTTATTTCGTAAAAGTTAAAGGGCATTTGTGGGGAATTTACCACCATCTGATGATAAGGTTGGAGAATAAATAGCTATTTTCTTTGCAAGATAGAAGGAGAATGTAATGAATGTTTTACATAAAAATAAACATAACTATAAATAAAAATAAAATGTATTGCTAAATTGTCTGTAAGAAAAAGCCCTTCACTTCTCTGAATGTAAATTGTAAGCATACAAATACCCGACAGGTTTATTTAACTCGCACTGCACCACTTCCTCTTTCTTTTGGCTGCACCATCACAAGTATATCAAGCAACAAAGGAGAGGCTTGTGTCGCAAACCTGTATCCAGCTAAATCTCCCTCTTCCTTCTCAGCAGGCATCAGAATCACTCTGAGTCTCACTCTTAGCCAGCACTCACATTGATTCACACACACAGACTTCTCTAATAAGGTATTTCTGGTTATTATTAACCGTGGTTGGTTTTAAAATCCATTTAATCTGCATGCATCATTATGGTTGAACTGAAATTTGAGCCCAGAACTGCAGAAATCATTTTAGATTTCTCCAGTGTAGTTACACATTTGAAAGGGAAGGGAAACGTTTCTCCTGGGATGTGGGACAGGTTTTCCTTTTATGAGTGTATTTGATATTCGGGACATGCACTGGCCTTAAGAGCTCCATGATTCATTGCAGGAGGCGACATTCGCCCATAGCATAGATCCACTGCACAGACTAATAATAGTATAGCCTGACTTTGTATCCCATGTGGCAATCTTAATGCTGTCTTAACACTCAAACTAGAACAATTAATTAAAGTGTATTACATTTTAAAAGATTGCAGCCTGTTTTGAAATAACGTTTCACACAGAATGACAGTGATTTTTTTCCTTTTCTTTCCATTTTAAATAACTTTGGATAGTTAGTGAAGGAGATGGAGCCAATTGACTGGAGCCTTTAGCTTAATATTTAATGGGTTGCTGTTTGGTTTTATTGAACATCAATTCATTTCTTTTTATATAAAAGTTAAGATTTCCTCCTCAAGTATCTAAGGACCACAGAATTTTATTTTTGGTTACATAATTAATTCATTTTTTTCCTTCTGCTCTTCATTTCAGTCTTCTTGTTTTTATTGTAACCACGTCTGGCAGATGAATAAATAAAACTATCCCCATCCCCCTCAAAAACAAAACAGAAATTAAATGAAAAGGACATTTTTTTCTGTAGAGCAGACATTTCTTTACAGACTGAGTGTAAAATTGTTGAAATGCTGAGTTGGAGGATACTGCTGTCACATGGGGGCACTGTTAAGCTGTAAATGCATTACAGTGATATAAGGCAGTGATATCCACACAAAATGGTTGCAGCAAATTCTTCAATAAGCCTCGACACAATTATAGATTCCACCATTTTAATCTTATTTTTTTCCCCGTCTGCCAAAAATGACACCGCCTATGAGGCCAGGATCTGTGGGGTTTTTGCCATGCACCCACGTGCCTGTGTTTGCTTACCTTCATTCGACTGTTGTCATGTGTCACAATGTGATGGGTTTGCCACCAGGCAGGAGTGACTGCGTGTGGGAGGAAACACGTGTGCCATATGTGCCACCCTTGCTCTGACAATTGTGTGTGATTATAATGGTAGTTTTGCATCTTCCAGGCATATGGGATGTCTGTCATGCCTTTGAATCTGATAAAAGGCACTCGGAGTGTCGTCTATGAACGCCTTGAGAACACAGAGGACATTGACGAGGTTGAGCATCAGATTGAAAATCTCAAATCAAAGGTAGGTCTTCAAAATGCCATGACCTGCCTACAGTTCACATGCAGATGGCTTAAACACAAATATGGCGACGTTTCAATAAATTTCATGAACTCTGATGCATTTACAATTCTATACCAATGGAAATCTTTGATTTTTTTTTGCTGTTTTGATGTTTATTTCAAAGATCTTTAAAGTAATGCAAGTTTTCACAAACATTGCATCAACTTGCAGCTCCAATAAAAATCCACACATGCCGTTTAGTTAAGCACCACTGATTCTTTATTATTATTCCCCTCAGTCTTAGCATTTTCTTATATAGTGTTAGTCTTTTCTTTTCAACCATCCATTCAGATGTTCCCTGTCCATACTGGGATGTAACCAAAACTTGATAAATCGCTGAAGAATGCAGTTTATTGTTAACTTAATACTTGGAAATATATCTTATTTTTAATAAATTGTCTTGACTAAATGTATTTTTCCTCTTTAAGATAGCAGCTGTGTTTTTCTCTCTGTTTTAAAAATTATTTTATCTATTTTCTGACAATAAATGTAAGTTTCTTAAAAACCAGTCATTTAGGCGATATTTTTAAAAGGCACGTTACAAAAATGTATACTCCAAAGTTCACCCTAAATGTCTTAGCTTACAGTGGTAACATATCAGTAGTGCATGTGTATTTAACTCTTTTGGGGGTTTCCTTTTCAGTGTAAGGATGGACGTCCTCTGTCCTCAAAGGACAGACGTAGCCTACAGGAGCTTGAGGGCAAACTGCAGGTCCTCCAGCGCAGAGGAAGACACCTGGACATTGCAGAGAGGAACTGCTGCTCTAAAGTTGGCAGTGCTCTCAGACCTGTGAAGGTGAGTCTCCATTTATGAAATTGGCTTCTGTTCATAGATGTAAATTTTATGTGCATTATGGACAGTGTTCTAAACAGAAGCAACATTTTTTGTTTTATAGATTCTTCAGAGAAACGATGCATGATTTTATAATCTATATATATCGGAATGAAAAATGTGCACATCATTTTAGACCCTTTTAATGCTATATACCTCAATAAAATCCATAGCAATTACTTCACTTATTAGTATAAGGGGTCTTGCTTTGTAATTTACTCTCTTTAGAAATACAGCTGTTGTGTGAGGTTTGTCAAGGGCATCAAACGTTAGGTTATAAAACATTATTTGAGTTTTAAAATCTCTATGGCATCTGATAATGAAGAGAGAACCTCACCACTGCGTCCACCCAAACGGAAAGGGGTGAGGAGGGAAATTAGTCAGAAAAAGAATCATAGGGTTGATATTAAATCTGTAAAGGCTGCACAAATCTACAACCCAGGTGAGAGACTTTCATTGTCAGGACAACCGTTAGTCATGTATTTCACTGGCCTTTACAGAAGGGTTACAAAAATGCCACATTTTTTTCTGCAGAAATTTTTAAATTATCCATACTTTTTTTTCCCAGCCCACAATTAAGCACCGCTATGTAACAGTCTGTCACATCAGTCCATCCACTGTCCATACTGCTTGATCTTGTAAGATTTTGGTAGGGGCCTCTGATCCAGCTTTGGAAGTCATTAGGCAGGAGGCGGGCTACACGCTGCATACGTTTATAGCACAAATCTCCAGTAAAATAGACTGAGGTTTTGAGTGAAGTTGGGAGAGTGTCAATACTTATGCATGGTGCTGTGCTATCGCAATGCAAAGTACACAACTCCTTTGCTCGGGTGTCCGTGTAAATGAGAATTAGCTCTCAATTGACCTACCTGGTTAAATAAAAATAAAAACTAAATGAAAAAGTAGTTGGTTTTCTTTAAAACTTGAACTGCTCTAGATTTACTTTTAGTTCTACTTTACAGCACCGCATGTTTCCTTGATTCCCATGGGTAGCCCTTTTCACCTGATTTACTGTGAAGTCTCTAAGGGGGACTTGTATTTCTCAGACAGGATCATATAGTTCCCATGGGATGCACCAAATCAGCCTCAAACCTCTCTTTGATTTTTGGTCCAAGCAGCCAGTGTCCGTACTCTACACATGTATTATAATAACCTAGTCGCTATACTTTCTTAGCTTATCATGGTGGGTCCTGCATTGACCCAGGTGTTTCTATGTACAAGTTTCAACCATTAATTTTGCAGTGCATACTCCCAACATGAATTTTTCTCATATAAAAAAAAATCTTTTAGAAAATTTAGAATTATAATCCCCTACTGTTTATCTTAAATACTTCTGGTCTCACTTGCATCTTCACAGTGTCTGTTTGATGCCTCTCACCATTGAACATACACATCATCGAGGATCTGCATTATAAAGCTGTGGTTGCATGCTGCAATATGTTAAATGGCACTCTTAAATCGGGCATTTACCTCTGTGAGCCCTGGTGCAGATAGCAAGAGCAAAAGAAAAGCTTACTTTGGTCCTATTGTCTGTGTCAACAAGGGATTAAATAAACTCAAACTGTGGAAGTTGTTACTCTAATCTGTTCAACTGAGAATTTATAAAAAAGACCCTCTTCAAAAAGCTTTGCTTATAAAGACATAATGTTTGTTAATTACATTATTGATTATTGACCGCTGCACAGCTACAATTGGTGCCGGTATGAAATAATTAGTATTATTTTACCCTTCTGCATATTATGAACCAAAAAACATTGTACCTCAAACAATTATTATGTCTAAAACTAGCTGGATTTAACAATTGGTGATAATTAGTGGTTAAAATAACCTTTTGCTTGACTGTACAGAGAGGCATCTAAATATTTTATTTTATGTGTTAAAAGAAAAAGAAAGAAAAAAACCTTTTTATATGATTTGAACTGTTGTTTTATTTTGCAACAGTAATAAAAGCTGTCATCTCTTATAATAATCATTAAAGCAGCTAACCATTTCCTCCAAACTAAGTTTATACATAAAGACGTAACATATGACATCACTGAACAAACTAAACACTATCATTTTTGTCTTTCTTAATGTTTTGCTGTAGTCTGAAGCTAATTTATAAAGATTAGTGTGGCAGGCTGATTTGCAGTCTGATGATTCGTTGCAACATTCTCCACATTCAGGTATTCATATCTAACTTCATGCTACCTTCATGCTCTTCCCTGTAGGTGAGCATGCATGCATATTCAATTAACTTGAATAACTTCAGTATGTATGCTCGATATACCTTAGATGACTCATCCAAGGCAGTGAGCAGATTGAATAGTTTATTCTATTTTGGTTTCCATCCCCATGTTAGCAGCAGGATAAATTCCAGCATGTGCTTGTAGTTCATGCTACTTTCAACACTGCTGTTTGTTTTCCTGCTATTTGAGTTTGTTCCAGGCTGGAACCAACATTTTAAACCAGTTTCTGTGACACATTGTCTTTAACCAAGGGGGGTTGGGGCTAATGACAGTCCCCAGACTTAAATTTTCGCAGTAATGAGTTGGGAGATTAATTCACTGTATGCTAGGATACTGGTGTAGAGTGATAAGCAAAACAATTTTGATTTCAGTGGGACCACCGTTTGCCAGGGACAGGCTGTGTTTTTTTTAATGGTAACAGCAGGGGTGGGTTGAGTTAGTGAACATGTTGGACATTCCCAGCCTAAAAGGCCTCTCGCATAATTGTCAGTGTGGGCTGTGATGATAAAAGAAAAAAAAAAAGATCAAACTCAATCCTCTAGTCTAACATTGTGAATTAAAATGTGTAATACTTTTTTGTTATAAGAAATAAACTTTCAAATTATAATTTGTTTTCAATTAACTGAATCTAATTGGTCATCTGCAGACCGGATACCTTTTATATTTTCTTAAAAATGGAATATGCTTTCAATTTATAGTCTATATTAGCCACCAGGTATGCACTTTTAAATTTCAGTTTAGAAAATATCTGATGAAAACTACAAACCTATGCTGCGATCCGCATGTTGTCATTTAATTTCTGCTTTTTCAAATGGATTTAGAGATACTACTTCTATTAAAGACAATACAGTTATTTATGAGTTGTAACCTAAAGGAAAGTCCCTTAAACTTCTTTCCCACAACACCTTCAAAACAGAATTGAAAGGTCAGACCTCTAAGAAAATCAGAAAAATCTGTAACAACCAGGAAAAGCCTTAATGGTCCACCTCTAGTTTCCAGACAATGCCAAGAGAAAAACAGCATAACTGTTTGTACAGATGTGGTTGTTGCTACCCGTCAGTCTGGAAAGACTTATTAGGCTTTTTCCACATTGTTGTCCGTCTTCCAATCTAAGAAAGGTTATTTTCTAATGTTTGTGAGCAGGCTGCAAGTCTTATCAGGGCTGGACATTTTAGGAGGTTGGCTGGCTAATTACAACATTTACATCTTAAACTACAAGTGCCTCGGTTCATACATTAAATGTCAAACTTTGACAATATAATTATAAGGTAGAAAAAAAGGGTACAGGTTTTTAGGAATGGTAGCAAGAGGGCGCATTGTTTCTGGATGAAGTATACAGCAGCACAGCCTAGATTTACTTTACTTTGAATGCTAACCATCTATTGGCCAAAGAAAGAACAATAATCCTCCCAAATTAAGTTATTGTATTAGAATTTGGGGAAAAAACAAACAAACAAAAAAAAAAAAAAAAACTTTCCTTTCTGCTGTCACCGATGGTCTTAGTTATAAGATAAAGTGTGGGAATGAACACTTTAGTGCAGAGGTTGGGATTGTCTGGATATCCCCTCTCTGTTGTTAGGCTTCAAACACCATGTCTGGCGAGGAACCTGTCTAATATTTTAGTCAATATTTCTAATATTTTAGAGTTAAATTTAAGAGTTAAAGTTCAATTTATGCTTATGGGCATTTATGTTTTTTTTTGTATAGTTAGACAGTGTAAATAAGCAGGTCAGAATTCAATGTGAAACCTGAAGTTTCGACTTTTTATAACTCGCTCTAATTGAAAGGATGTGACCTTTATGGAGCTGTAAATAGATTATGACAGGTTAAACTTAAGGTCTTAAAAGAAAACATTACATAGAAACTTAATAAATTTTTACATTAGATCAGTGATGTAATAATGCCAAGGATAATCCACAAGCCCTTGAATATGTGCTTGTTTTTTCACATTGACTCATTTAGGGTTGTTTTGTTTGATAAAAAGTGATATAGTGTGGTATGGCATATATATATTATATATATATA